TAATTCCCATTTTGCATCCATCCAACATTTGTCTCTCTAATGATACTCACCTTCAGCCATCCACCTCTGCCTGGCCAGCCACCATCCTGAAAAAGATTCCATTAGTGTCAAGATATCTGAGCAGCAGGAATTGATCCCGAATCTTTGATCCTGGCACCAGGCCACCGATGCCCACCACTCCCTTCTGCCTGCCGGCAATACTAACCCAGGAGGAACAGGTTGAAAATGAGCCTCATGTTGGGAGTTCTGTAGGCAGCAGCTCTTCCAGCTTCCGAGCTCCTCTGTCTCATCCTGCCCTGTTGCCCAAATGAACTTGCCAGTTTGCTGCTGGGATCTCTGAAATGCAACAGGAATCTATGGAAGAGATCTTCTCCTGCTCATGCAGCCCCAAAAATGCAGCGTAATTCAGACAACAGCCTCCCTATTCTGCCTGATAATAATCTAAAACTTCAGCAACAGTTGTGAAAGAAAAAGAAGAAAATAGAGGAAGTCACCCTGGGTGAAATGGGTGTGTTGAAATGGAGGAACTGAAGCATCATTTGCAGAAGATCCAGAGCTTTAAGACTCTACAGCATGCCCTTGGGAGTGAGGAAAAAAGAAGAAAAACTAAGACCCTTCTTCCTTCTGCAGAGCCTTTGGGTTTGATGGTGGAAAAGCTGCTCCTAGGTTGGATAGGATATTTCTCACTGTATTATTGATTCTGCTGCTTTGATTGTCAACTGCTGTGAGTCTTTGGAAGTAAATCTTACTTTTTCCTTGCTGTCAGACACTAACACTACCAGGAGAGTCACACATTTTTCTGCCTTACGCAGGAAACTATTTTCTTAATGCTCTGATTCTATTAATGCAAATGTTCATTCTGTCTCTTGCATCATTCCTAGGTTTTATCTTTCTTGTTATATTCTATTAGTCACTGACCAATGTACGATTTTACTTATATACATTTATATTCACATAAACTAAATGATATATTCACTCAACCGCTCGATATTTCATAGATAAAACTTCAGTATTTTATGTTTAAAGTATTTTATTCATCAATGAATGAACCATTCTGTTTCTATTCCTCAAGTTCTGTTTCTAGTATCCTGTTATCTGCTCAGAGAAAGGGTTTTTTCTTTTTTGTTTATTGCAGTGTTGCAGGACGTGCTGCTCGAGAGGACGTCTCCTGGCAGACACGGAGCGAAGCGGAGCCTGCAAGTCGAGAGATTCCAGCCGTAAGACGAGGAGGAAGACCGGGAAGGAAACCCTGGAGTGGCTCGTGAACATGTGGAGAGGCCGGGAGAACAGACTGTGTGGTGTCTGAGGAGATTCAGTACTGGGCAGTGGAGCTGAGTGAATTAAAGGCTTTGATTGGCAGCAAGATAGCCAGGAGATCTCTTACAGACATCCCAGGATCAGCCATCGCGATAAGGAAGGATGAAGGAAGCCGAAATACAGCACAAGCAAAAGTGAGGGAAAGAGAGTTGGGAGGGTGGGAATGAAGTAGCATATTCCTTCCGTGATAGGTACCTATAGACATTGTTCTGAATATAGGTTTTGTAAATTATATTTTCACTTGTATATATGAGCTCACACTATTGTATTTGTATAAGAATCTTAGTGTTTAGAATAATTTCCCTCCTTTGTTTAAGAGCTGGCCGTGTGTGGGTCTGTATCAGCTCCTATCCTGACCCGCCCTCCGACATGATCTATCCTTGGAAATGGGCAGTATAAAAATATGCATAAATAAATAAATTAGGGGAAGCATTTCAACACATTTTCAATCATGGCTCAACCTGCAATGTGAAAAGTTCAGCTTGCATTGCAGTCTGGATGCTTTCCTCGAAGAGAAGAGACTTCATGCAAGAGAAGGGGCATTCTTTTTGCCTCCCTGCAGCCCTGATCTCCCCATCTACTTCCAGAATTAGGAAATCCTTAGGAATATTATGGGATATAGTGTGATGGAAGGAGAAGTGGGAGAATGGTGTATTGTAAAAGCAACATCTAACAGCCAATCCATTTCTCTCTCTCAGATTGTTGTACTCCTGGGACTAAAATGAGATGATCTGTACACAGAAAAGAAGGTCCAGGAACAGCATCTTTGGCAAGAGTAGCTATCATAATAGCCAGGTCTGCCTGATATGGAATCAATATAATGTGGACCTGATATTGTTTATGAGCACAATATGCTGATTGTCTCTTGCGAAGGAAGACAGTAGGACGGTCAAGGGTTGGGACTGGATGTAATGGTATGTGGGAAAGACCCTGGGAGATGGGGTGAAGAGATGCCACCTAGGGAACGGCTTCCTCCATACCTTTCTATAATAATAATGTTCAGCCGGAATACTTGAAGTGGGGGGAAGGGAGGGTGGCGGTATTTTTACAAGTCTGTTATCGGTTCAATGATATCATATGGTCTTGTCTAGCATAGTATGATTTAATAAATGATAGTAATTTACTGTAGTAGGATAGGATAGGATAGGATAGGATAGGATAGGATAGGATAGGATAGGATAGGATAGACAGATAGATTATTTATATTGTAATTATCATCAGTTCTCCTAGTGTAAAACTGTCCTACAGCAGGAGAGGTAGAACATTTTGCTGGAGTCCATTATAAACAGCAACAAAGGGAAGATAAACCTTCTCCTGATTGTGCACCTTGAGGTAAAATGTCTCTGTTCCCTTCCCTGGAACACAAACAGCAACCAAAGCAATTGTGTGTATTTCCTGGGTCTAAGAAAAGTACACAAAGAGGCGGAACAGGGACCTCCAGCTGGCCACCCACAGTTAATGCCTGCCTCACTTCTGATGTTGAAAAAACGGTAGTAAAATGTAGTGAAAGGGCAGAAATCCCATCACACATTGTTCAGACAGCTCAGGAAATAGGCATGGCGGGGATTACAGGAATGCTGTATATTGCAGGAAGGACTTCTGGAAAAGAAACAGCGAACTGAAGATGGAGGTGACATCTTTTACAAACTGAAAAATAAATAGAAAAGTAAAAAAGTAGAAGGTGCAGAAAAGGAAAAGAAAATAGAAAAGAAATAGAAAAGAAGAAAAAATAAGAATATAGTAAAGAAAAAGAAAAGAAATATATAAAGAAATGACTTCCCCCTTCATCACAAGTATCCATAATTTTAGTAGCTTATCACCTTCTCTTAAAATACAACAAATGATCTCTTCTTCAACATATCCCATGTCTTATCTATAAACAAATCCTTAAAAATCTCATCATTTCATTCCTGATCAACAAAAGTCCATTAAGAGTAACCAGAAATAACAGCAGATCTATTGTGGCTATATATATAACCTACCAATCTCTCCCACATTACACAGTCAAACAACTGCTTCTAGGTTCTCCATGTTATAAAGTCTCTCTTGTTCTTCTCTTATCCAGGACAATATTATCCCCAACCTTCCATCTCAGTGTATCCCAGTAACATTGACTTTCATTCTAATGAAAGAAACCTCTGCTCAAATTATAAACTACCCTACAGTTAAGACACACAGCAATGAGGCTGAATTTCAGATTGTCAAAGCCCAAAAAATCACATGGGGGGGAAATACAGTTGCACATATTTCAACAAGACATCTTCAGCTGAGTCACACTATAGCAGCCCAGCTTATATCTTTGCACAAAATAAGAGCCTTTCCATGTTGTTTTCATCAATGAGACTAAACTGGTTATTTCCTATACCTGTAAAGGGAATTGAAAATCTGCATTCTCCAAAATGCAAGAGAGATGGAAATAGCCATTCTCTCACTAAGGCTGATTCCTGCAAAGTTCACAAGTGATCAGTCCAAACTGAAACTCCTTGTGCAGCCAAACTCAGCAGGCTGGGTGTGTGCTCTTGAACAGCTAATATGCACCCCAATATCTCCATGTAGGGGGAACTCAGAAATAATGCCCTCTGCATTTCAGGATCAAGGCAGAAGAGAATATGAAACAGATTCGTTCTTGCACTCAGGAATTGGTGAGAGGCCAGGACTGGTGATGGGGCAAGCAGAAAATGTGGATCTATGCTGTGTCCACCCTGCTTTGCCAGCTCAACAGCCCTCTCTTCTCTCTCCTACAGGGAAGTCTTCCTATGAGAAACTAAGCTAACTCCTATTCTCAGGTTCTACTCATCAGGTCACTAAAACAAAAGTATTGTTTGGGTGACTGGCCTTCACGCCTCCATGACAGATTCACAAAGGAGAGTATTCTGCCCCAGTGTGGCCTCCTGTGGGCTGTCACACTCACACTACTCCATTCCCGGCACCCACTAGCTGGCAGTTATAAGCAATGCTCTGACATACAATCAGAGGCAATCAAGATTTATTTTATTATGACAAACCAATGAAGGAAATTAAAATACAAAGGCATGCAATAGCATCAAAAGATCAACAGAGTCTTAAAAATGGACAAGTACAACAGTGAAAAAGAGGGGAAAGGACAAGGGGAAAAAGGCCTGGAAGCTGTGTTATAAATAATATGACAACACTTTTTGAAAATCTTTGTCCTGGCCACTTTGCTCAAAAAAGACTAATTCAAAGATTGACTAAGAGCATATGGGAAGGAACCATTGCCACAGATCAGGAGTAGATTTCAGCGTCAACAACTTCCTTCAATTTCCTATAAGTGAGTTTACTGATGGATGCAAGAGTGATATGCGAAGAGCGTGTGCCTCAATGCCCAGGGAACCACCTCCCATATGCCAGCACTCCAATGCTCCACATGGCTTCTACTACTGCTCCATGGCACCTGATGGTTTCACAGAGTGAATTGCTTCACCAGTCTCCACCGTTGTCCTAAGTACTGTAGTCAAGAGCATTCTGATGATCGCATTTCTGGAGCCACCGGTAAGATCTGGCCCTTATATTTGGCATCTACAGTTACATGTCTATCTGCATGACTGTGGGGAAATAAAAATAAGACGTTCTTGGTAATGTTTGACTCAAGTCCCCCAAGGTCCTATAATACGACATCCATGCCTGAAAAGTTCTGCCTATTGCTTCTTTGCAGTTGTAGTTGTGGCCACTGTTGCATATAAGCAAAGTTCAGAGGTTTTGCCAGGATTGGTGGCCTGTTGGGTTTTCTGTGGCTGGTGATGCAAAACAGCATAGGAGACTTCATCCAGGTGTTCTCCAGCATCAGCTGTTAAGGCCTGGAAAAAAGAAGAAAAACTTAGACGGCATACTTTCCCCCTCTTTTGCAAAGCAAACAAATCAGGTGGTCTCTCCAAAGAAAAGAATTTGGCACTGCAAACCTGCAAGATTGATGTCAGCTCTTCAAGGTAGACCAGACTAGAAGACCAAAGTTATGAATACTAATACTACTTTTATTATAAGGTCACAATAACAGAATCTTGCCAATCTCAATGAGCTTCCTGCCTATTTGTGAGAGCTAGGGAGGGTCAAATGTGAGACTTTCTCAAATTACACTTCTGCCTTGGACTCACATTTCATTTATCTGACCCCTGTCTTGGTTGCGGCTCTTCCTCCTGTTCCTCAAGGTTATTCCTACTCCCATTACATGCAGTGATTCTTTAGCTACTCACAACCTACGATCTACTAGGGACAGTGGGATCTAAATAGCAAGATCTTTGTCCTCCCTTTGTCCATCACTCTGCCGGCTGATCTCAGATCACTTCTTTTGACTTTTGTTCCCAGAGACCCCCAAATGGAGCATATGCTCTTTCATTCTCCTTCTGATAGGATGAAGGTGCTAGCTTTTACCTGACCCTATCATATATTTCTTGTAAATAAACCTCCTTTCTGTTATAGCTAAAAAAAAAATGGATTCACTAATCACTGCTCATTGCTCAGGCCAGATTCCTGTTCTTAGGACCCTCACATGTATCCACACAGTGCTTGTACTTCCAGTTGGGAGAGAGAGCTAGAGAACTCCCATTTTTGCACGAACCCTGTAATGGAACCTTTTTGGCTTCAGAGAAATTGGGCCAAATTGTGCAGTTGCTCAGTGGCACAGGGCTGTATGGGAACAGGATCCCCATTTTTCCCATTCCACAAGTTCCCTGATAAATGGTTTGCATGAGACAAGGGGAGTTAGTCCTGCCTCGAACAAGAATGGTCAGATCTAGCCTCCTTTCTGTTAGTGGATCATTTCTGAGCTTAGAGTATTCATATGCACACTTATGTCTACCCACTCACTTACTCCCATGATGTCATTATGAATTGAATGCCACCAATTTCCTTAAGTGGGGCAGTTTCTTAAATTCTAAGTCAAAGATGCCCAACCACCTTCAAGCTCAAATGTCATTCTTCAAGCCACGCTCCCCAAAGCAAGTGATCCCAGGGCAAAAAATCAATGGTTTAGTAGTTAATGTTGAACGTCATCAGTTAATTACTGTCAATATGTTTACTCTGCGTGCATTTAATAACGTCCTCCTTATATCAAATGGAAATTGAGAATTGCGAGATAACTTTGGAAGGATTCGGGGAGGCATACAACAGGCATTCCTGTTCTAACATCTGGATCTGATGAGATAATGCAAAGAAGGAAGGCACACGCATGGAAGG